TGGAAACACTTGTCCTGTTTCCTGAGCAACCTAACTATTAGAGAGAGCTTGGAGCAGAGGACTGAGAGAGGGTATTACTCGTGAGAGAGCAAGAGGCTCTTTTAAAGACTTGTGGTTCAGCTTTATCAGGCAGCAGAAAGCTCTTGAGAGAGCTCTTGTTGGGAGACAGAGCTGGAGACTCTGATGGAAAACCTTGGTGAGAAAAATGTCTCTAGGGTGGTTCTTTTGATCTGTGGCTACTTGCTGACTGAATTCCTAGAGGTAAACTGACCTACTACGATGCCCTGTGACTTGGTGAATAATGCTCTCGTTCCATACGGCGAGGGTCCGGGTTTGATTTCCAGCTAAGGTAGAAACATTGGGCGTTTTCCTTTACACCGGTTGTCTACATTCACACATCAGTAAAACGGGTGCCAAGGTGTTAGTGGACTGGTGTGGGTCGCATCCTGAGACATTATTATTATTATTATTGTAGTCAAGGGGAAGCACTAAACCCGTAGGATTATACAGCGCCTGTGGGGGGGGGTGTGGAAGGCATTCAGGCTTAATTCGGGGAACTGGAGCACAGATCCAATTCCCTAAATCAAGAGCCCCTCACTAACATCAAGGAACCTTCCCTGAGGGGCATCCTGGGACAAAACTGACATAATTTGCGGGATAATGCTCTACATAACAAGGGGTTTTCTATATAGTAGTACATATGTCACTGATGTCAGCTATGGTCTGTACACCTTGTACATGTACTTGTACACCTTGTACATGTACTTGTATACCTTGTACATGTACTTGTACACCTTGTACATGTACTTGTATACCTTGTACATGTACTTGTACACCTTGTACATGTACTTGTATACCTTGTACATGTACTTGTACACCTTGTACATGTACTTGTACACCTTGTACATGTACTTGCAGTAATGAAGATATTATTATTATATTATTATTACTTATCATTTACTGTAAAGTTTACATTTATTTCGTCAGCTAATTGTGTCCCATCTCAGTAACTTGTGTCTCGTAGCTCGATTGGTAACACACTAAGCTCACACACTGAGGTCTGGGGGTTATCCCCAGTATGGCTGGAAACATTAAGGACACGTTTCCTTAAGACACCTGCTGTCACTGTTCACATAAGAACATAAGAACATAAGAATGTAGGAACACTGCAGAAGGCCTACTGGCCCATACGAGGCAGGTCCTCATCAAAACGACATCTACCTAAAGCTACTCAAGAAATAACTCCCGTACCCCATGACACAAATCAAACCCAGCCCCTCCCACTAAGTAAAATAGGTACCTGGGTGTTAGTCGACTAGTGTGGGTCGCATCCTGGGGGTGGTAGTATACTTCAGATGGAGCTGGGTTCTGAAATAAGCTGAGGTAGACCAATAGTTCTTAGCCTGTACAATTGGCCCATGTAAAAAAAAAAAAAAACCTGCTTTAATAAAAAAGTTTTGAACTTCAAGCCCGAAAGAGAGAAACGTGCTGGAACCAGCAGCAGCTCTGAGAGATACAGGAAATAATTAGTTCTAAGGGCAACAATTTTCAGGATAGTCTTGACTACGGCAATGATATTATAACGCACAGACAATGCACCAAGTCATGTGCGATGATGCGTACTGTGTACGTGTGTATACATGAATACATACAGATGCTTCTCAGACTGTCAATTTATGGACCACAGTTTGATCTTCACGTCCACTCTTCTGTTTATTCATATACGAATATCTCAAACCACAGTATGGATGGGGATTGAACTCGCGGCAATTGAGTTGTAAAACTCCAAGCCAACTCGTAAGCCACTGGGCCAGCGAGCTACAATAAGTCATCCAATTAGGAATATTTACACACCATAGGGAGGTTAGCATGAGCCACCACTGTGACCCCAGTTGGATGAATTTTATTGTAGCCAGCTGGCCCAGTGGCTTACACACTGGCATGGAGTTTCACGACTCACTTGCCGCTAGTTCAATCTCCACCCATAGTGTGGTTTTTGCTGTTGTGTTATTATAACTTCATGAGTTGATTCAGGAATATCTCTTGAAGGGGACTGAGTGTTGGAAAGGATATCTTATTAATGTATACAAAATACCAGATATATTAAGTGAATATCCAAAATTTGCATATAACAGAAAAGTGAACTGTGGATAGAAATCCAGATGTACTCTTGTTAAACCTTTAGGGGCCTAGTTCCTAGGCCTGTTGTGCATCTATATGCTCTTGTGCTACTTTACACAGGATGGATACTGTTTTCCCAAATTTACCTTGATTCCATTACCAAAATTGATTTATGGGGTTTAAAAGCCTATTAACTACACGAGGGGGCATTAAGGCACCAACATAATCTTTTAACCACCAGAAAAGAATTATTCTTTCTTTCTTTCAATGCACCAGCCGTATCCCACTGAGGCAGGGTGACTCAAAAGGAAAAACAAAAGTTTCTCCTTTTAAATTTAGTAATATATACAGGAGAAGGGGTTAATAGCCCCTTGCTCCTGGCATTTTAGTCGCCTCTTACAACACGCATGACTTACGGAGGAAGAATTCTGTTCCACTTCCCCATGGAGAAAAGAATTATTAGTACAGTGGACCCCCGGTTTACAATCAGCTCCCAATGCGACCAATTATGTAAGTGTATTTATGTAAGTGCGTTTGTATGTGTATGTTTAGGGGTCTGAAATGGACTAATCTAATTCACAATGTTCCTTATGGGAACAAATTCGTTCAGTACTGGCACCTGAACATACTTCTGGAATGAAATAATATTGTAAACCGGGGGATCCACTGTATTATAAAAAAAGAAGTGGTAAACCCACTAGGGTTATAGTGCGCTGCAAAAGAATACTTAAAATCACTAAAATAAGTATTAAAGTCGCAGCATATGCATGAGGGTCCCATGTACTGGGCATCTCTTTTGGGCCTTCCATGTATCCGTTAGCTTTCAAATAAGTCATTATTGTTATCCTCAAAACCAAGCGTTAAACCCACTAGGCGGTCTTCAAGCAGACACTGGACAGGCACCTAAAATCAGTACCTGACCAGCCGGGCTATGGCTCATACATCAGTTTGCATGCGGTTAGCAGTAACAGCCTGGTTGATCAGACCCTGATCCACCACAAGGCCTGGTCTCAGACCGAGCCGCGGGGGCGTTGGCCCCCGAAATCCTCTCCAGGTATACTCCAAGGTCGTAGAGCGCTGCTCAATCGAGTCATTGTTCATTATGTTCGGTGTTTTTTCCACAAAACAGTTGTATTAGGGAAGGGCTGCCAGCGCCACATTTTAAGTTATTATACGTACTGTGTATGTATTTTAAGTTATTATACGTACTGTGTATGTATTTTAAGTTATTATACGTACTGTGTATGTATTTTTTCATCCGTATTTAGTGCTTAAATGTACATATTATCATTATCGCGAGGGAGCACTAAAACCGTATGGATTATACAATGCCTGTGGGGGTATGGAAGGTATTCAGGTTCAATTCAGTGAACTGGAGCACAGATCCAATTCCCTAAATCAAGAGCACCTCGCCAGCATCAACCTCCTTTGAGGGGAGTGATAGTGTGAATAATGATGAAAGCGTTTTTTCTTTTTTGAGCCATCCTTCCTCGGTGTTTCAAAAAAACACTCTTACCCTATCTGGAATAGGCTTATATTCACAAGAGCTAAACCTGTAAGGGTTATGCAGCGTTTGGCAAATGCAAGGCAATTGGGCTTCATTCTGGGAAGATTAACTCTACTTCCTTGGATCTAAACCCTTCCAACATCACGGTAACCCTCTAGAAGGATCGAGGAAATCCTAGCATGCTCCTTCCCTCTCCAAAACTATCCCACTAAACTCTCAGGGGCTATACAATGCCTGAGTAACAAGACGCAGATTCAATCCTACGACAATTAGGGTAGCACCACCTCCATGGAATAAATAAAGAGGCCTTTTTGAATCAACGTCCGCACGTTTCCTGTGAAAATAAAACGGCCTAAACAATTGAACTTAAAGGTTAATATAATATTCCCATTATTCTAATATTTTATTTCTATTGCAGAAATATAAAAAAGATCGACTGCAAAATAAATATATATAGTATAAAAAAAATGGTCGAGTCATATTATCTCAACTGAAGAATGATAAGGATTTTTAATATAGTTGTAACAAATGGTCGATAGAAAGTAAAATGTTGAAATGTACAGTAATGCAATATAAGCCTTAGAATTGACTCAAAATGTAATATAGGCTTTAGTACCGACTCAAAATAGGCCTTAGTACTGCCTCAAAATAAGCCTTAGTATTGCCTCAAAATAGGCCTTAGTATTGCCTCAAAATAGGCCTTAGTACTGACTCAAAATAGGCATTAGTACCGACTAAAAATAGGCTTTAGTACTGATTCAAAATAGGCTTTAGTACTGCCTCAAAATAGGCTTTAGTACTGCCTCAATATAGGCCTTAGTACTGACTCAAAATAGGCCTTAGTGCTGACTCAAAATAGGCTTTAGTACTGACTCAAAATAAGTTTTAGTACTGCCTTAATATAGGCCTTAGTACTGACTCAAAATAGGCATTAGTACTGACTCAAAATAGGCCTTAGTGCTGACTCAATATAGGCTTTAGTACTCAAAATAGGCCTTAGTACTGACTCAAAATAGGCCTTAGTGCTGACTCAAAATAGGCCTTAGTACTGACTCAAAATAGGCCTTAGTACTGACTCAAAATAGGCCTTAGTACTGACTCAAAATAGGCCTTAGTACTGACTCAAAATAGGTCTTAGTGCTGACTCAAAATAGGCCTTAGTACTGACTCAAAATAGGCCTTAGTACTGACTCAAAATAGGCTTTAATACTGACTCAAAATATTATGGTACTGCAAGAAAGCGAAGTAATATTCCATATTAATATATTTCAATACGTGTTTGTTTACATTCTGTAAAATATCGAAATTATTCATTTATCAGAGCAGAAAATAAATTTCAATGACCCAATTTTTTTTTACAATATAAAACACCAGAATTAATCAATTTATTATACCAGAAAATAAATTTCAATGACCCAATTTTTTTTTACAATATAAAACACCAGAATTAATCAATTTATTATACCAGAAAATAAATTTCAATGACCCAATTTTTTTTTACAATATAAAACATCAGAATTAATCAATTTATTATACCAGAAAATAAATTTCAATGACCTATATTCATTTACATTCTGTAAAATATCCCAAAAATGCATTTGAAATAGCCTAAAATAGCCTAAAATAGCTGTCATAAAAGCGGCTATTTTGAATATGCAAATGAAAATCACAATTTTAAACAGCAATGAACTTAAATTTATTTATTTTGAGTGACGTGCCTCTTTGTACTACAAATATTTTTGTCTTACATTAATGACAATACCATACACTGTAGCATGAAAAGTTGTACACAAATATGATATATACATGTATGAAATGCGCCTTTTTTGGTGCCTTTTTTTCCTTATGTACTGCAGACAACACACAACTGACCCGCGTCAGAATCTTTTTCTCAGATTTAAACTATAGCCCAAATTTTTTTGGTATCAGTAAAATGTATATGCACGTGCTTTCGCCAGAGCTCAGGAAATGTGTGAATCTCATTGTACGCCGAATCTCTCCGCTCGTTTCTTCTTCTGGGCATCCTCGTCTTTGCCGGCAACAGCTCCCACATTTACGATTTTAGCGGCAGCTGTGGGGTCTAAACTGGTTCTGTAAAGAAATTACATTTGGATGTAATTTTGTAAACATTATCAGTGTGTGTCTGGCAAAACAGTGATAGTGTGAATGATGGTAAAAGTGTTTCTGTTTTCAGGCCACCCTGCCTTGGTGGGAGACAGCCAGCAGGTTAAAAATAAAAATATTAAGTTGGTCATATGACTCAAGAAATCGTAATGACACGATTGCAAACAAACCATACCCCCGACCGGGATTGAACCCGCGGTCATAGAGTCGGGCTGGAGTTTTGAGACTCTATGACCGCGGGTTCAATCCCGGCCGGGGGTATGGTAAGTTGGTCATATATCTGTAGCTGAGAGAGTTATAACAGGGATATCTCTATTATTCTTTTAAAAGTTAAATCAATTGGGCTGTGAGGAATGTGAAGGGCAGCAGGCCAGCAGCAACAATAGCCTGGTTGACGAGACAAGCACCAGACCAGCCTAGTCCGTGACCGGACTCTGAGAGTAGAAAAACTCTCAGATTTTATAATTCTCAAGTGCTCGTTCTTTCAAGAAATTCAGCAGCACTAGCACACAAAACCAGAAATGCAACAACTACCAAAAAAAAAAATTGAGAGAGAAAACGACCATGAGCCTTGTAACCTCTAGACAAGCAAACCCATTTGTCGATACATCTCCCAAATATCTAAATCACCTACTATAATCTAAACTTCTATTCGGCACTAACTTTTCTATTTTTATTCTAAATAGAACAGGGGGTCGAAATATATAGATCAATTAAACTCTTGAGTTTCTGTCTCTATGTGGGTTATTACTTAGCACTGACAAGTGTTCATTACACTCTAGTTATTCACAGTTAGTCAAGAACAGTGTTGTTTACAAAGAGCAACTGTGACACCTCCCAATTTGTATATGAGAACGGTATACAACATAGCCTCTCCTCAGCGACGTACTCGTTTACCAACGCCTTGGACTTACGATGGGCTCTCTGATCAGTATGCATGCCTAAATAATGTATATTAGAGCTGATTTCCTCTATTCTGTTTATTACAATATACAGTACACTACTGTATAAACATTAAAAAATACACAGCGAAACCTTGGTTTACGAGTGCCCCACCATGCAAATTTTTCAGGATACGAGCCGTAGTTTGATCGATTTTTTGCTCCTGGATACAAGCCAAAATTCAGGTTGTGAGCTTCCCCCTAAAGGAAAGTTCCTTAAATAAATAAATAAAATAAATAAATAAAATAAATAAATAAATACAATATTTATTTCTTTGCAAAGGTTACAATGTGAGTTTATATATCATAATATGATTGGAGCAAAGAAAGCCACTATCTGCCGAGGCATTTCGGGCAGACTTAACCTAATACTTATAGACTATTAAAGTCTAGACAGGTGAAGAGTGGTAGCGGTTACCAATGTTTTGCTGATGGTGGCGCCAACTACTGGCAGCCTTTTGAAGTTTCTCCTTACTGTTATTATATATTATTACTATTATACTTTATTATTATTACTATTAGTTATAATAATAATTATTATTAGTAGTACATATGTGGTGAGGGGCTCTTGATCTAGGGAACTGGACCTGTGCTCCAGTTCCCTAAATTAATACTACTACTACTACTACTACTACTACTACTACTACTACTAATAATAATAATAATAATGATTACCTATGTACTACTACTACTACTAATAATAATAATGATTACCTATGTACTACTACTATTAATAATATTATAATATGTACGTAACCCCTTCTCCTGTATGCATTACTATGGTTAAAAAGAGAAACTTTTGTTTTTCTTTTTGGGTCACCCTGCCTCAGTGGGATGCTGCCGGTTTGTTGAAAGAAGAAGAAAAGAATATGTATGTTTTTTTTTTTTTAACAAGTCAGTCGTCTCCCATAAACTTCAGAAAGCTGCCAGTAGTTTGCGCCACCATCAGCAAAACATTGGTAACCGCATGTTTACCTCAGCGTGGGAGGCGACATTGTCGTGATTTCCTTCTATTTTCTCCAGTTAGGTTGCCAAAAATCTTGTTTCTAACCATGGTTCCTATGAAAGTAAGTGCAAAGGAGAGTGAGGAGAAGAAAAAGATGATGATGTCAATGGAATTAAAGCAGGAAATCATAGATAAACACAAATGCAAGTTTTTACAGACGAATCTCCAGCTAGCGTGTGGTCACAGTGGTGGCCTATGCTAACCTTCCTATGGTGTAGAAATATACCTAGTTGGACGAATCTTATTGTGGCTAGCTGGTCCAGTGGCTAAAGCGACGGTCTGGAGTTTTGAGACTCTCTGACAGCGGGTTCAATCCTGCCTGTGGTATGGTTTGTTTGCAATCGTGTTGTTACGATTTCGTGAGTCATGTTGACGGCATTGAGGGGACCTGAGCTAGAGTTGGTCATGGCCATGCTAGCTGGAGATTCGTCTGTAAAAACTTGCATTTGTGGTCACAGTGGTGCCTATGCTAACCTTCCTATGGTGTAGAAATATACCTAGCTGGACGAATCTTATTGTGGCTAGCTGGTCCAGTGGCTAACGTGACGGTCTGGAGTTTTGAGACTCTCTGACCGCGGGTTCAATCCCGCCCGTGGTATGGTTTTTTTTTCAAAAACTGCAACATATCTCCACCCATCCTTCAGAATGTAGACACTGTGCTTCCCACCTCCAGGACTCAAGGCCAGCTAACCAGTTTCCCTGAATTCCTATAATACACATTTTCAAAACCCACAAATGTTAACAGACAATTGATTTCCTTCATAGTGCACCACAGACAATAATACTCACATCAAAGTCTTTTCCGGTGCTGTCTTTTCCGTTACAATCTTTTCTTGTGTTGTCTTGTTCTCTGCTGCTACGGCTGTTGCTGCAGCAAATCGCTCTTGCCTTAACTTCAATTTCTCCAGTTCAGTCATCTGTGAAGAAAATTGAAGTGATAAATACATCTCAAACTATGACCTGACATGCTGTTGGAGTGTGAGCACGGTGACATCTTTGCAAGGATTCAGGGAAAATGGTTAGTCAGACTTGAGTCCTGAAGGTGGGAAGTACAGTACCTGCACTCTGAAGCAGGGATAGAGATGTAGGGTCATCTGACTATAATGTCACCATACTTATAGAAAGATAGCTGAGTGAATGTGAATGTACTTTCTAAAGCTGATGTTTCATGTTTTTCTTAATGGATTTTGTTTAAACATACAAAAACTGGATAGAGTATGATAATGCTCAGAATAAGAAAAATAATCCCTGGGATAGTGGATTAGAACCTTTCCTCTTTGAGCCATGCGTGTTGCAAGAGGCGATAAAAATGCCGGGAGCAAGGGGCTAGTAACCCTTCTCCTGTATACATTACTAAATACTGGCAGCAGGGTGCTAGTAACACCACCTATATAAATTACTAAATACTGGCAGCAAGATGCTAGTAACACCGCCTATATAAATTACTAAATACCGGCAGCAGGGTGCAAGTAACACCTGTATAAACTACTAAATACTGGCAGCAAGGTGCTAGTAACACCTCCTGTACAAATTACTAAATACTGGCAGCAAGATGCTAGTAACACCGCCTATATAAATTACTAAATACCGGCAGCAGGGTGCAAGTAACACCTGTATAAATTACTAAATACCGGCAGCAGGGTGCAAGTAACACCTGTATAAATTACTAAATACCGGCAGCAGGGTGCAAGTAACACCTGTATAAATTACTAAATACCCGGGAGCAGGGTTTCAAGTAACACCTGTATAAATTACTAAATACCGGCAGCAGGGTGCAAGTAACACCTGTATAAATTACTAAATACCGGCAGCAAGGTGCTAGTAACACCTGTATAAATTACTAAATACCGGCAGCAGGGTGCAAGTAACACCTCCTGTATAAATTACTAAATTTAAAAACAAGAAAAGCTTTATATTTCTCCTTATTAGGTCACTGCACCTTGATGGGAAGTTGATAAATTAGACACATGTGCAACTCTTGGGTATCTTTATTGAGGAAATGTTTCGCCACACAGTGGCTTCATCAGTCCAAAGGAGAATCTTGAAGAACAGGAGGAGTTTAAGGTATTCAGTCCCTCAGCCTTGAGTCGCTGTAATCAGTCCATCAATCTTGAAAAGAATACAGCATATGTGCAAAGAAGTGGATTATATACAGTTGGCAGGAGATGCAGCAGTCGTATGTGGTATCACCTAAGTGTTGCACATGTGTCTAATTTATCAACTTGTCGGTTCTCTGAACCATTCATCTACACTGATGGGAGGTTGCTTTTCTTTTTTTATCAATAAACCAGCCGTATCCCACCAAGGCAGGGTGGCCCAAAAAAAAAAAAAAAAAAACGAAAGAGGTTGCTGTTATATTAAACAAATACACATATGAGACCAGCCAACAAAATTAAAATTCAACTTCTTTATGCCCCAGTGATGAATGTAATCAGTTGTTCCAGTGTTGAGCTACAGCTCTGTGCTATATGCATAGTAAACCCTTGATTTAACCCCTTGACTGCCGTAACCCTAAATCCTGAGGTGTCTCCTGGTGTCCAAAAAAAAAATCTTATGAAATGATAGAGAATCTTTTCCCGATGGTAATGACACCAAAGAACAAAATTTGATGGAAAACTGATGGAATTACACTCTCGCGAAGTTAGCAACCTCGGCGATATTTACAAATTGGTGATTTCGCCCACTTTGAGCCCTATTTTCGGATAATTCCTTTGTTCCAGTTGACCAAACTCATAGCTATTTCTTTAGAACTCCATTTTTACAATTGACTTAGTACAAGAAACTGCCAATTTACCGATTTCAACTACCCAATAACATGGTCAGAAATTTGCAATTTGGCCAATTTCAAGAAAAATTTAAAAAAAATGACAATTTCAAAATAGGGTCCAGAAGAACAATGCAGACACTCCTGGCTCTAAAATAACATTTTTCTTTGTTCATCACTCACGACTCCAGGCCCCTCTGATATTACTCTTGTCTGTTATGCAGACTACCGCAATATTGTAAGAATTGATAAATAATGTCAACCCATTCATGGTGCATATTAAAATGGGTAGTTGGACATTTATTTGTTTAGTTTTGAACATCGGCAAAAATCAAACATTTCTTCTACTTTGAGCTCCATTTCCAGATTCTTATTATAGTAAAATCAATCAAAATCACCTCTATTTCTATAATATCTTTTCCTTTTTATCAAAAAGAGACCAAGAAAACGAGAATACAACCACAAATACTGTACGAAAATAGACGACAAAGTCGGCACTTTAATTAAAAAAAAAAAAAACGGTCAGTTTTTTTTCTCATTATACACTGCGTGCTGCAGGATTTTTTTATATGGTGCACACTGACCACACAGACCCATTCTTTCACATGTAGGCCTACCAGCTTTCTCCTGCTTGATTTGAAGCCGCTATAATTTATGAGTATAAATATGTCAAACACAGTCGCTTTGTAAGACGTATATATACGACCAAAACAGTCAAAGGGTTTAAAGGGCCTTGATTTAGTAGACTTTGGACATCTGGGGAAAAACACTCGTTGGTTCACTTGATTTGTAAACAAGAGACAAAATTAATGTTTCAGAATTGTTTGTCATTGTCACAATCACGGCAAAACAAGCTCATCTCTATTCACCACAATCACAATTACCCGCTTTCCCCCCATATTAATCCATTAAAGTGAGGGTTTTTTATTCAGGTAATTAAGCACCCCCTGAATGAAACAAACTAAGGGTCTTTTTTTTTTTTTTTTTTCAACAAGTCCGGCCACTCCCACAGAGGCAGGGTGACCCCCCGAGGCAGGGTGACCCACCGAGGCAGGGTGACCCACCGAGGCAGGGTGACCCACCCAGGCAGGGTGACCCACGAGGGAGGGTGACCCAAAAAGAAAAAAAATCCCCAAAAAGAAAATACTTTCATCATCATTCAAAAACATTCACCACACTCACACATTATCACTGTTTTTGCAGAGGTGCTCAGAACACAACAGTTTAGAAGCATATACGTATAAAGATACACAACATATCCCTCCAAACTGCCAATATCCCGAACCCCTCCTTTAAAGTGCAGGCATTGTACTTCCCATTTCCAGGACTCAAGTCCGACTATAAGAAAATAACCGGTTTCCCTGAATCCCTTCACTAATATTACCCTGCTCACACTCCAACAGATCGTCAGGTCCAAGTATCATTCGTCTCCATTCACTCCTATCTAACACGCTCATGCATGCTTGCTGGAAGTCCAAGCCCCTCGCCCACAAAACCTCCTTTACCCCCTCTTTCCAACCCTTTCGAGGACGACCCCTACCCCTCTTTCCTTCCCCTATAGATTTATATGCTTTCCATGTCATTCTACTTTGATCCATTCTCTCTAAATGACCAAACCACCTCAACAACCCCTCTTCTGCCCTCTGACTAATGCTTTTATTAACTCCACACCTTCTCCTAATTTCCACACTCCAAATTTTCTGCATAATATTTACACCACACATTGCCTTAGACAGGACATCTCCACTGCCTCCAACCGTCTCCTCGCTGCTGCATTTACCACCCAAGCTTCACATCCATATAAGAGTGTTGGTACTACTATACTTTCATACATTCCCTTCTTTGCCTCCATAGATAACGTTTTTTGACTCCACATATACCTCAACGCACCACTCACCTTTTTTCCCTCATCAATTCTATGATTAACCTCATCCTTCATAAATCCATCCGCCGACACGTCAACTCCCAAGTATCTGAAAACATTCACTTCTTCCATACTCCTCCCCAATTTGATATCCAATTTTTCTTTATCTAAATCATTTGATACCTTCATCACCTTACTCTTTTCTATGTTCACTTTCAACTTTCTACCTTTACACACATTCTCATTTTTCTTTAGAATCTCCCATAAGCACAGTATCATCAGCAAAAAGTAACTGTGTCAATTTCCATTTTGAATTTGATTCCCCATAATTTAATCCCACCCCTCTCCCGAACACCCTAACATTTACTTCTTTTACAACCCCATCTATAAATATATTAAACAACCATGGTGACATTACACATCCCTGTCTAAGACCTACTTTTACCGGGAAGTATTCTCCCTCTCTTCTACACACCCTAACCTGAGCCTCACTATCCTCATAAAAGCTCTTTACAACATTTAGTAACTTACCACCTATTCCATAAACTTGCAACATCTGCCACATTGCTCCTCTGTCCACTCTATCATATGCCTTTTCTAAATCCATAAATGCAATAAAAACTTCCCTACCTTTATCTAAATACTGTTCACATATATGCTTCAATGTAAACACTTGATCTACACATCCCTACCCACTCTGAAACCTCCTTGCTCATCCGCAATTCTACATTCTGTCTTACCTCTAATTCTTTCAATTATAACTCTACCGTATACTTTTCCTGGTATACTCAGTAAACTTATTCCTCTATAATTTTTACAATCTCTTTTGTCCCCTTTCCCTTTATATAAAGGGACTATACATGCTCTCCGCCAATCCCTAGGTACCTTCCCCTCTTTCATACATTTATTAAACAAAAGTACCAACCACTCCAACACTATATCCCCCCTGCTTTTAACATTTCCGTCATGATCCCATCAGTTCCAGCTGCTTTACCCCCTTTCATTCTACGTAATGCCTCACGTACCTCCACCACACTTACATTCTGCTCTTCTTCACTCCTAAACGATGGTATACCTCCCTGGCCAGTGCATGAAATTACCGCCTCCCTTTCTTCCTCAACATTTAAAAGTTCCTCAAAATATTCTCGCCATCTACCTAATACCTCCCTCTCCCCATCTACTAACTCCCCTACTCTGTTTTTAACTGACAAATCCATACTTTCCCTAGGCTTTCTTAACTTGTTAAACTCACTCCAAAATTTTTTCTTATTTTCATTAAAATTTCTTGACAGTGCTTCTCCCACTCTTTCATCTGCTCTCCTTTTGCACTCTCTCACCACTCTCTTCACCTTTCTTTTACTCTCCATATACTCTGCTCTTCTTATAACACTTCTGCTTTGTAAAAACCTCTCATAAGCTACCTTTTTCTCTTTTATCACCCTTTACTTCATCATTCCACCAATCACTCCTCTTTCCTCCTGCCCCCACCCTCCTATAACCACAAACTTCTGCCCCACATTCTAATACTGCATTTTTAAAACTATTCCAACCCTCTTCAACCCCCCCCCACTACTCATCTTTGCACTAGCCCACCTTTCTGCCAATAGGCGCTTATATCTCGCCCGAACTTCCTCCTCCCTTAGTTTATACACTTTCACCTCCCTCTTACTTGTTGTTGCCACCTTCCTCTTTTCCCATCTACCTCTTACTCTAACTGTAGCTACAACTAAATAATGATCTGATATATCAGTTGCCCCTCTATAAACATGTACATCATGGAGCCTACCCATCAACCTTTTATCCACCAATACATAATCTAACAAACTACTTTCATTACGTGCTACATCATACCTTGTATATTTATTTATCCTCTTTTTCATAAAATATGTATTACTTATTACCAAATTTCTTTCTACACATAGCTCAATTAAAGGCTCCCCATTTACATTTACCCCTGGCACCCCAAATTTACCTACTACTCCCTCCATAACATTTTTACCCACTTTAGCATTGAAATCCCCAACCACCATTACTCTCACACTTGATTCAAAAACTCCCCACGCATTCACTCAACATTTCCCAGAATCTCTCTCTCTCCTCTACACTTCTCTCTTCTCCAGGTGCATATACGCTTACTATAACCCACTTTTCACATCCAATCTTTATTTTACTCCACATAATCCTTGAATTTATGCATTTGTAGTCCCTCTTTTCCTGCCATAGCTTATCCTTCAACATTATTGCTACTCCTTCTTTAGCTCTAACTCTATTTGAAACCCCTGACCTAATCCCATTTATTCCTCTCCATTGAAACTCTCCCACCCCCTTCAGCTTTGTTTCACTTAAAGCCAGGACATCCAGTTTCTTCTCATTCATAACATCCACAATCATATCTTTCTTATCATCTGCACAACATCCACGCACATTCAGACTTCCCACTTTGACAATTTTCTTCTTCTTATTCTTTTTAGTAATCTTTACAGGAAAAGGGGTTACTAGCCCATTGTTCCCGGCATTTTAGTTGACTTTTACAACACGCATGGAGAATAAAAAGGCACAATACTGTGACTTAGTCCATTAACTTACAGTCTGAATTAAGACCATTAACTTTCAGTCCAACTTAAGACCATTAACTAGCCACGTAAGGGTCTATCATACGTGAACTGATCACAAGTAAAAATCTGAACAAGAACAAACCAAAAGAGCCAAATGAGAACAAATAACAAAGAACAACACACCTTCACTAATGATTTTGAGGTAACTTCTCCGAACCTCTCCGCACGAGCCTTCAGCTTCTCCACATCTGTGCCCTGAAAAGCCAATTAACATTTCAAAAACAGCTGATGTTTGCTGATACTGTAATGTATGATAAAACTATCTTTCCCTAAAATATTTTGATGTTGTATTCTGGTTTATCGTCAACTGAAAAGTCCAAAGTCATTGATGTCAGCATGTACTTGTAGAAATAAAGATTATTATTATTGTTGTTATTATTATAGTTATGCAATGTGTCTCAAACAGACTTCAGTCCATTTGAGACACATTCAGTCTGAGACACATTCAGTCTGTTTAATACACAAATAACCCGCACGTAAAAGAGAGAAGGTTACGACGACATTTCGGTCCGACTTGGACCATTTACGAAGTCAAAGTGTGACTTTGTAAATGGTCCAAGTCGGACTGAAACGTCGTCGTAAGCTTCTCTCTTTTATGTGCGGGTTATTTGTGTATCGTTCCAGTCACGGTATTGTGCCTTTTTTTGCTATCAGTCTGTTTAAGACATGATTCATCACAAATAACATCTTGGAACTAAATAACTATGCACATGTGTCTAACAGTCAGGCCTATTAGACACGTGCATAGTTCTTCATTTCTAAGAAGTCATTCAGGATGCAACGTGTCCTCAATAAGTGTCTTAAAGGATGCAACGTGTCCTCAATAAGTGTCTTAAAGGATGCAGCGTGTCCTCAATAAGTGTCTTAAAGGATGCAACGTGTCCTCAATAAGTGTCTTAAAGGATGCAATGTGTCCTCAATAAGTGTCTTAAAGGATGCAACGTGTCCTCAATAAGTGTCTTAAAGGATGCAACGTGTCCTCAATAAGTGTCTTAAAGGATGCAGCGTGTCCTCAATAAGTGTCTTAAAGGATGCAGCGTGTCCTCAATAAGTGTCTTAAACTGTGCTTACGTGTCTTTATATATTATCAAAAACATCATGACTGTTCTTCACTGACACGCTATCACAACTGATGAAATACATTCCTGTAACTGATGAAGTGCCAAATACCACTGAATATTAGCTGTCATAACCAGTCCAAAATACGAGACGAATTTTGTCTAAAGACGACGCGTTGTAAAAGTAAAAATGAAATGTAAAAGAATATTTTGACACTAAGCACAAGGTGGAATAAGACAAAAATCCAAATTCTACAAGGGAAATTCCTATTTATTTGGTGGCTCCAGAATTTCTAAAGGTGCATATACAGCACCTGTTCATTGTTCCATGTTTCCAATGATTTCAAATGGAGCCATTGTTCATTGTGGTCCACCCACCAGCAGGTGTAACAATGGCTCAATTGAAAACTGAAGAAAATGTAGAACACTGAAAATAGTCACTGTATATGCAGGACTGTATAGGAGGGGCTCAGGGACCTAAGTTTAACCCTTTCAGGGTCCAAGGCCCAAATCTGGAGTCACGCACCAGTGTCCAAGAATTTTCAAAAAAAAAATTTGTTATTTTTTCTTATGAAATTGTAGAGAATCTTTTTGTGAAGGTAATAAAACAAAAAGTACGAAATTTGGTGGAAAATTGACGAAATTATGCTCTCGCGAATTTTGATGTGTTAGCGACATTTACGAATCGGCGATTTTGCCGACTTTGACTCCCATTTTAGGCCAATTACATTATTCCAATCAACCAAATTCTTAGCTATTTCACTAGTATTACTTCTATTCTATCGATTGAGCACAAGAAATCACCAAGTCAACTGTTTCAACTACAAAATAAAGTGATCGGAAATTGTTAATTTGGCCAATTTAACATAAAGTTCAAAATATTCCAATTTCAAAATAGGGTCCAGAATAAACAATGTAGGCATTCCTGGCACTAAACTAACGCTTCCTCTGTTCATTAGTTATGTTTTGAGGCTTTACAAATAAATTCCATTTTGATTTTTTTATTCACATAATGAATTTTTATTCACACCAAAAAATAGAAGATTTACTGTTATGCAATACTGTAATAATTGTATAAATATCATCACCATATTTGTGAATGTATATTAGACCCACCAGCTGACGTGTATTAGACGTGTGAGGTCGTTTGTTTACTCTTGAATATCGGCAAAAATTTAACATTTCGCTACTTTGAGCTCAGTTTCAAGCCATTTCCAGTGCTAAAACCAATCAAAATCATCTCTATTTCTGTAATATGTCTTCCATTCTATCAAATGAGACCAAGAAATCGCAAATACAACTATAAAAAACATACGAAAAAACACTGCAAAGTTGCTGTTTTAATCGAAAAATCATGATTTAAGTTTTTTTCTCTCATTATACACAGTGTGCTGCAGGATCTGTTTTATGTGGTGCACACATACCACATAGATGTATTCTCTCATATCTAGGCCCAAATGTACCACTCACAGTTTATCAGAGTGAGCTGAGCTCATGGCGTAGATCTACGGTTTGGACCCTGAACGTAAAGCCGTAGATCTACGGGACGGACCCTGAAAGGGTTAATATGTATTATTATTATTACTTTGGGCTTCAGGGAGGCTGACAGTGATTATGAGGCTCCGAGCCACACGTCCTCATGGAACCATTACTGGTTACGATGTACAAACTTTCAATAAGTGGCGGGTTAACTATAAACAGGTGCTACTTGACTTGCGATGGCTCAACTTGCTATACAGTGGACCCCCGCCTTACGATATTATTTCATTCCAGAGGTATGTTCAGGTGCCGTTACTGAACGAATTTGTTCCCATAAGGAATATTGTGAATTAGATTAGTCTGTTTCAGACCTCCGAAAATACACGTACAAACGCACTTACATGATTGGTAGCATTGGGAGCTGATCGTAAGGCGGGGGTCCACTGTAATTCAACTTTACGATGGTGTGGCAGCACTATCGTAAAATTTGAGATAATTTGAGATAATTACCCAACATGAAGGTGGTAAGTCCCTAACTTGTATTAATTTTCAATAATGTTATTTAGTTACAAAAATTATTTATTGACTTATTCAGAGACAGTATTTATTTATTTATCAGGATCATGTTTCAACCCATGATATTTTCGACTTACGATGAATTCGTCCGAACATAATCCCACTGTAAGTCAAGGAGCACTTATATACAGGTGCTCCTTGACTTACAATGAGGTTATGTTCCAATAAACCCATAAAAAGCTGAACCATTGAAAGTCAAACTGTCCTAAATCGAACCATCGTAAGTCAAACCATCCTAAGTCAAACCATTATAAGTCAAACCATCCTAAGTTGAACCATCAAAAGTCAAACCATCCTAAGTTGAACCACTGTAAGTCAAACTATCCTAAGTCGAACCAACATAAGTCAAACCATTCTAAGTTGAACCATTGTAAGTCGCAGAGCACCTGTAAACAGCCACAGGAGAAAATGACAAGTGACACAAATCGTATAATCTCACCCCAGTCTCCATGGAAAGCTTCGCAGGTTTCCTGTTAATTGTAGCTCCATTAGTCTGGGATCCAAAGCGAGCAGCGCGTGACAGTCTCCTGGCCTCCTCTGTCATGGGCATGCCAAATCTCTCGGCCCTTGATTCGATTGCCTGTTTGTACAAAAAATATGAGTAAAATCATCTGAAATTCTACATGGCATTATTGCCTTCAGAGGGAGCTCTAAATCTGTAGGGGGTCATACAGTGCCTGGGAGAATTTGAGGCAATCAGGTTTGATCCATGGGAGGATAGGTCCATTTCCTTGGATAATGAGCCCCTTACTGGCCTCAAGATACTCCCATGAGGGGTTGAAAATAATTACAATAATTAAAATAATTATAACAAAAAATATATCCTTTTGAGAAATTATTATTATTCTATTGTTATAGCAGAAAAAATGTCCCCCATGGTAAATAATTATTATTAATGGGAGGTAATCAGGTTTAATACAAGGAAGGGAAGAGCAGCTCCAGTTCCCCAGATTCAATGTCATTAAGGCACACCTTGATGGGAGGAAATTTATGATAAATATCCTAGAGAGAGCAGGATAGCAGATGAACAAGGAGGCTTTAGGAAAGGTAGGGGGTGTGTAGACCAGGTGTTTACAGTGAAACATATAGGTGATCAGTATTTAGATAAGGCTAAAGAGGTTTTTGTGGCATTTATGGATTTGGAAAAGGCGTATGACAGGGTGGATAGGGGGGCAATGTGGCAGATGTTGCAGGTGTATGGTGTAGGAGGTAGGTTACTGAAAGCAGTGAAGAGTTTTTACAAGGATAGTGAGGCTCAAGTTAGAGTATGTAGGAAAGAGGGAAATTATTTCCCAGTAAAAGTAGGCCTTAGATGAGGATGTGTGATGTCACCGTGGTTGTTTAATATATTTATAGATGGGGTTGTAAGAGAAGTAAATGCGAGGGTCTTGGCAAGAGGTGTGGAGTTACAAAATACAGAATCAAGCACAAAGTGGGAGTTGTCACAGTTGTTTTTTGCTGATGACACTGTGCTCTTGGGAGATTCTGAAGAGAAGTTGCAGAGATTGGTGGATGAATTTGGTAGGGTATGTAAAAGAAGGAAATTAAAAGTGAATACAGGAAAGAGTAAGGTTATGAGGATAACAAAAAGATTAGGTGATGAAAGATTGGATATCAGATTGGAGGGAGAGAGTGTGGAGGAGGTGAATGTATTCAGATATTTAGGAGTGGACGTGTCAGCAGATGGGTCTATGAAAGATGAGGTGAATCATAGAATTGATGAGGGGAAAAGGGTGAGCGGTGCACTTAGGAGTCTGTGGAGACAAAGAACTTTGTCCTTGGAGGCAAAGAGGGGAATGTATGAGAGTATAGTTTTACCAACACTCTTATATGGGTGTGAGGCATGGGTGATGAATGTTGCAGCGAGGAGAAGGCTGGAGGCAGTGGAGATGTCATGTCTGAGGGCAATGTGTGGTGTGAATATAATGCAGAGAATTCGTAGTTTGGAAGTTAGGAGGAGGTGCGGGATTACCAAAACTGATGTCCAGAGGGCTGAGGAAGGGTTGTTGAGGTGGTTCGGACATGTAGAGAGAATGGAGCGAAACAGAGTGACTTCAAGAGTGTATAAATCTGTAGTGGAAGGAAGGCGGGGTAAGGGTCGGCCTAGGAAAGGTTGGAGGGAGGGGGTAAAGGAGGTTTTGTGTGCGAAGGGCTTGGACTTCCAGCAAGCATGGGTGAGCGTATTTGATAGGAGTGAATGGAGACAAATGGTTTTTAATACTTGACGTGCTGTTGGAGTGTGAGCAAAGTAACATTTATGAAGGGATTCAGCGAAACCGGCAGGCTGGACTTGAGTCCTGGAGATGGGAAGTACAGTGCCTGCACTCTGGAGGAGGGGTGTTAATGTTGCAGTTTAAAAACTGTAGTGTAAAGCACCCTTCTGGCAAGACAGTGAGTGAATGAATCATGATGAAAGTTTTTCTTTTACGGGCCACCCTGCCTTGGTGAGAATCTGCTGTGTTAATAAAAAAATATAATCCTATACATTAATATCAGTAGAAATATTTTTGACAAAATACATAAATGCAACAATACATTAATGTGTAAAATACACAATATGCATTTTAAACACATTCGATAAGGAAAAAAAACGCTCTGTTCCGTCCGCCAGCAATTTGCTTATCGCATGGGGTCAGGAAGCTAAGAGCCATACAAACATGGCTTTTCTGTATACAGTGGACCCCTGGTTTACGATATTATTTCATTCCAGACGTATGTTCAGGTGCCAGTACTGAACGAATTTGTTCCCATAAGGAATATTGTGAATTAGATTAGTCCATTTCAGACTCCCAAACATACACATACAAACGCACTTACATAAATACACTTACATAATTGGTCGCATTGGGAACTGATCGTAAAGCGGGGGTCCACTGTATTCATACAAAAACATCAAAGATAGACAGAGAATAAAAGTAATTCTTATGACTATAACTACAGCAGAACTCCCGTATCCACAGATTTGGTTTCCGTGGTTTTAGTTATCCGCAGTTTCCCGTGACCCAATAATAAGCCTTAATATTGCTTAACAATGACACCAAAGTGCAAAAGTAATGATGGTGGCAGTTCTTCAAAGCCTAAGACAAGCTGTGAAGTGTTTCCCATCAGTGAAAAAGTGATATAATTACCCACTTATTGTGCACAATTTATCAATTAAACTTTATAACAGGGATGTATGAGGAAAAAATAGGCTTATATATAGGTTTTGCTACTATCCATTGTTCCATGGATATGGGGGAGGGGGACGACTGTACAAGTAAACATGCAATAATTTATACTATCAAGGGGCTAGTAACCCCTTCTCCTGTATAAATTACTAAATTTAAAAAGAGAAACTTTCGTTTTTCTTTTTGGGCCACCCCGCCTTGGTGGGATACGGCAAGTTCGTTGAAAAAAAAAAATAATTATACTATACAGAAATCCATAAAAAATCCTAAAATGAAATGGTGTACTGTAAAAGAATATTTTTTAGAGGACAAATGTGATACTGACGGTTTTATCAGTGGCAGAAGAGTCGAGTTTGATGATTTTCTTCTGCGATGGACTCTCCTCAGGGTCTTTCTCCTCCTCAACTTTGGCCGGTGGGTCATTCTCCGATTTGGGTTCATCCGGGGCGGATGGCGGGGGTAAGGAGGAGTTAGATCGCTTCAGACTGATCTTCTTCTTCTCCGGTTGCTCCAACAGTGCAGCTTCCTGGAGATTTCAGTCACCATTAAAAACTGTGACGTTACTACGGCTTAGTGAGCGAAGTTTAGAAGATTATGTCATCTTTGAAAGATGTCACAAATAAATACATACTGATTTATCTGGCAACTCTGGAAAGACAGTGATGTGTGAATGGTAGTGAAAGTGTTGAATGATAGTGAAAGTGTTGAATGATAGTGAAAGTGTTGAATGATAGTGGAAGTGTTGAATGATAGTGAAAGTGTTGAATGATAGAGAAAGTGTTGAATGATAGTGAAAGTGCTGAATGATAGTGAAAGTGTTGAATGATAGTGAAAGTGTTGAATGATAGTGAAAGTGTTGAATGATAGTGAAAGTGTTTCTTTTTTCTTTGGGGTCACCTTGCCTCGCTGGGAGACGGTCAATGTGTTGAAAAAATAATAATAATAATAATGATAATAATATTATCTCAGTGGGAGATGGCTGGTATTAAGATAATAATAATAATAATAATAATAATAATAAGGCAAGATACAATGATGGGTTATTTGTAACAATAATTTTATTTCTACGATGTGCAAAGCTTTTTTTATAAAAACCGAATACAGTGGACCCCTGCTTTACGATCACCTCCCAATGCGACCAATTATGTAAGTGTATTTATGTAAGTGCGTTTGTATGTGTATGTTTGTGGGTCTGAAATGGACTAACCTACTTCACAATATTCCTTATGGGAACAAATTCGGTCAGTACTGGCACCTGAACATACTTCTGGAATGAGATAATATCGTAAACCGGGGGTCCACTGTACAGTGGAACCTTGGTACTTGAACATCTCCCTACTCAACCGCTTTATTCAGTAAAAAAGATCGCTTGGTAGTCAACTGCTTGCTCGGCGCTCGGCCAAATAAACACGACCTGCCAGAACATGTGCTGTCGCTCAGTGCAAATCTCCGCTGAATTTCACTGTAAAATATTTCATATTTCTTAGCGTTTTTTGGTGTTTTACATTACAGTGGAACCTCAAATATCGAACTTTCTTCGGTCCAGAAGGCTGTTCGAGTGCCTTTACCGAATGAATTTATTCCCATCAGGAATAATGTAAATTAGATTAGTCCATTTCAGACCCTCAAAAATACACTTATAAAAGCACTTACAAAAATACACTTACATAATTAGTCGTGTTGGGAGCAGTTCGATTTTTGAAGTTCCACTGTACAGTGGACCCCCGCATAACGATCATCTCCAAATGCGACCAATTATGTAAGTGTATTTATGTAAGTGCGTTTGTACGTGTATGTTTGGGGGTCTAAAATTGACTAATCTACTTCACAATATTCCTTATGGGAAAAAATTCGGTCAGTACTGGCACCTGAACATACTACTGGAATGAAAAAAGTTCGTTAACCGGGGGTCCACTGTACTTGTATAAATAAGTCATCATGGGGCCCAAGAAATTAGTGATAAACAACCAAAAAGAAAACTGGTTAGAATCACAACAAAGATGAAAAAAAAACTCGGCAAAATATGAAAGATGTGGCCGAGTGTTTGATCTTGCTGCCGAGATTTGTATGGTGAAATCTACGACCTCTGTCATGCTAAAAAATAGACCATTAACCCTTAAACTGTCCAAACGTAGATCTACGTTTTTTCAACATTTGAAAGTATGTAAAAAAAGTAGATCTTCTTTTTTTTTTTTACATTTGAAAATGTGTAAAAAACTTTGAACTACGTTTTTTTTTGTTATACACCTACCGTCCGACTTATGACCTGCTCGACTTACGACCGTGTTTTTTATGCCAAATTTCTGGGAAATAAACAACTATTTGTGTTGTACAGTGTTTATCCTAAACCTTACAGTATAAAATACAGTACTAACAACATAAAAAGTAAAGTAAAACATGAAATACCAAAATAAAACAATAAAATAAAGTCATTACAAAAATGTTTTGTTGATATTCAGTAGTAAAGTTCGACTTACGACCATTTCGACTTACTACCGGTTTCTCGGAACCGAACTCGGTCGTAAGTCGGATGGTAGGTGTATTTGAAATATGTAAAAAAAAGTAGATCTACTTTTGGAGCTCTATGAATGTGAACATAGATCTGTTTGGTCAGTTTAAGGGTTAAAAGGGCTGATGTTGCAAAAGGGGTGAAAGCAGTTATGAAACAAAGACCACAAATAACGGAAGAGGTTGAGAAATTGTAGTTGATTTGGATCAACGAGAAACAGTTAGCCAGTGACAGTGCTGCTGAGACCTTCATTTGCAAGAAAGCAAAGCATCTGTACTCCGATAACTATTCATCGTGTTTAGTTTTTTCTTTTTAAGATTTATGCATGCTAGCCTTGTAAACTTTGTGTTAAAACGCTTTTGTAAGTGAATTTTTTGGGGGACTGAAATGAATTAATCTAATTTACATTATTTCTTATGGGAAAAATTGGTTTGGTACTTAAACAGCCTTCTGGAACAAATTAAGTTTGAGTATCGAGCTACAGATGTACCTCTTAACATAACGATAAACGGATCACCTATCACAAAGCTAACAGAGGGAAAATTCTTAGGAATCCACCTCGATAATATACAACATATACATATACATATACAACAAATTTCTAAGAAAATTTCCAAGACTGTAGGCATACTATCGAAGATACGGTACTATGTTCCACAGTCAGCCCTCCTGGCCCTATATCACTCTCTTATTTACCCCTATCTCACCTATGGAATTTGTGCATGGGGCTCAACAACAATTAACCATCTCAGACCACTAATTACCCAACAAAAGGCTGCAGTTAGAATGATAACAAATTCTCACTACAGGCAGCACACTCCACCAATATTCAATACACTAAACCTACTCACCATACAAACATCCATACTTATTACTGCACCTATTACATACATAGAACACTTAACTCTGACATAAACCCTCCCCTCAAACATCTCCTTGCCAACCTCAACAGAACACATGACCATAACACAAGGCACAGATCACTCTTTGATGTTCCTCGTGTCCATCTCACACTATGCAAAAACTCAATGCACATAAAAGGCCCTAAAATCTGGAATTCATTACCTGTAAATATAAAAGAAACACTACCTGTTTATAAATTCAAGTCTCTTCTCAAAGTTCACTTACTCACTCAAAACCAAATAAATACTGAATAACTGAACCTTATAAATTGTACATCCTAAATGTTACTCACAATTATATCACACAAATGTTAAACCTAACTTTGTTATTTTTTTTTTTAAATACACTACCTGAATGAACAGCAATGCATGCAACCATATGACCTGTCTTTGTAATACTCATTTGTATTTTATAGTTATCTGTTTACAATAATGTTTTATCACTGACTTCATCATTGCTTAGTTAATCTTAAGTTAATTTTAAGCCAGCCCGTAATGCTATGCATATAAGTGGCTTTGGCATGCTGCTCTTACCTGTATTTTTTTGTACCTCTGTATGTATGCTAAAATTTATAAATAAATAAATAAATAAATAAATTCCAGAAGTATGTTCAGGTGCCAGTACTGACCGAATTTGTTCCCATAAGGAATATTGTGAATTAGATTAGTCCATTTCAGACCCCCAAACACACACGTACAAACGCACTTACATAAATACACTTACATAATTGGTCGCATTGGGAGCTGATCGTAAACCGGGGGTCCACTGTATTACTGTATCTAATACAAGTGGGTCACAGTTTATGGCGCTTCGTTTTTCAGTGATTCGCTGTTACGGCAATTTTCAATTAAACCCAATTATTCCTTCATATGGCACCTGATTCGCTATCATGGCATGACGCTCTCTGCAGCGGGGGCGTCTCCGTGTTTACATCCTCAGTGATCACCACATTTCTATTGATTCTGTCTTGAAATTTTCCAAAATTTCAGGTGTTTTACAGTTATTACGTGTATTATTTACAGGTGCTCTTTGAATTATGATAAGGTAAGGTTGCAACAAACCTGTTGCAAGTCGAAAATATGGTAAGTTGAATATGTATATTGTAAGTCGAAAATATTGTAAACCGAATATGTAAATATGATATGCTAAGTAAATAACAGGCTGACTCACTTTACATTGGTAGCCTAGAACCTAACCTGCTGTACTGGAGCTCTCCTGTATTTATGTCAGATTTGTTACATCATACATTTCAATGCTCTAGCACATCGCAATTCGGGAAAGACACATTACATTAATTTCAAGATGATTTATGCACACAACGGACTCTGCAATTCGGGGAAGACACATTACATTAACTTCAAGACGTCACACACACCACGGACTCTACAGACATGCACTACATTCACTCCAGACGAGTTACGCACATCGCGGACTCTGATGTTACCGCCTAGCGCAGCCTCCTCCTCCTGGGGTGTCAGTTTTCCTAGCTCCGCAGCATCCATATCTTCTCCTCCCAAGATTTCCTCCTCGTCAAAGTCCTCGTCGTCACCTTCAGCGTTACCCACGGGTACACTCTCACCTGAATGAAGAAAAACACATATATAAAGGATAATACAGAAAATAAAGAGGATGTGGAAACATAATGCCAATAAGTTTGAAAATACAGACACAATAATACTAATAATGACAATAATTTGGGATTTTATAATTAAGACAGTAATAATGACTAATAATAATTTAAGATTTTAAAATAGTGACAGTAATAATAAATTGGGATTTATAATAATGATAATGACAATAATAATAATTTGAAATTTTATAACAACAACAGCAATAATTATATGGGATTTTATGATAGTAAAAATAATAATTTGCAATTTTAAAACATAAAAAAATAATAGAGGTCGGCCATCATTTATCCGCCATCACGGGGACCTGTAGTGTGACGGATTAGCGAGTCTGCCGGATACAGAACGGTTAGGATAGAATACGTTTAATAAAGTTAACCGAGCAGAGCTATTTCTTATATTTTGGCCTTTCTTTGATTAGCTTTCCTGCAGCACGTAAACTGTTGTTACTTCTTGTTCATTTATAAAACGGCACTAATCTAGACCTTTTAGCAGTTCACCTGTCAATTGAATTAACCTAGATTTGCTGCTGTGGATTTACAACCACCTGCACAATTTCTGAGTCAGTATAATGATGAAATTTGAGTCAGTATAATGATTCAAGTCAGTACAGTGGACCCTCGACCAACAATGGCATCGATTAATGATAAATCCGACTAGCGATACATTTTAACGCAAAAATTTTGCCTCGACTAGTGCTAAAAAACCCGACCAATGCTAATCGTTCCGTTCGAGACGCGTCCACTTTGGCCTGAGCGCGTCTCACTTGTCCCATGCCAGCCAGCCAGCCACCGTGGTCGCTTCCAAACATACAACTGGAACATTTCATATTATCACAGCCTTTGTAGTGATTGCACCTGCAAAATAAGTCACCATAGGCCCCAAGAAAGCTTCTAGTGCCAACCCTACAGCAAAAAGGGTGAGAATTACTATGGAGATGAAGAAAGAGATCATTGCTAAGTATGAAAGTGGAGTGCATGTCTCCGAGCTGGCCAGGTTGTATAGTAAACCCCAATCAACCATCGCTACTATTGTGGGCAAGAAAACGGCAAGCAAGGAAGCTGTTCTTGCCAAAGGTGCAACTATGTTTTCAAAACTGAGATCGCAAGTGATAGAAGATGTTGAGAGACTCTTATGGTGTGGATAAACGAAAAACAGATAGCAGGAGATAGCATCTCTCAAGCGATCATATGTGAAAAGGCTAGGAAGTTGCATGACGATTTAATTAAAAAAATGCCAGCAACTAGTGGTGATGTGAGTGAATTTAAGGCCAGCAAAGGTTGGTTAGAGAGATTTAAGAAGCGTAGTGGCATTCATAGTGATAAGGCATGGTGAGGCTGCCAGTTCGGACCACAAAGCGGCTGAAAAATATGTGCAGGAATTCAAGGAGTACATAGACAGTGAAGGACTGAAACCTGAACAAGTGTTTAATTGTGACGAAACAGGCCTGTTTTGGAAGAAAATGCCAAGCAGGACGTACATTACTCAGGAGGAAAAGGCACTCCCAGGACATAAGCCTATGAAAGACAGGCTTACTCTGTTGATGTGTGCCAATGCTAGTGGTGATTGCAAAGTGAAGCCTTTATTGTGTATCACTCTGAAACTCCCAGAGTGTTCAGGAAAAACAATGTCCTCAAGCTAATTTGTGTGTGCTGTGGAGGGCAAACAGTAAGGCATGGTCACTAGGGACTTTTCTATGACTGGTTACACCATGCATTTGCCCCCAATGTGAAAAATTACCTAATTGAAAAGAAACTAGACCTTAAGTGCCTCCTGGTATTAGACAATGCCCCTGGTCATCCTACAGACTTGGCAGAGCAACTTTCTGGGGACATGAGCTTCATTAAGGTGAAGTTTTTGCCTCCTAATACCACTCCTCTCCTGCAGCCCATGGACCAGCAGTCATTTCCAAACTTCAAGAAACTGTACACAAAAACTATGTTTGAAAGGTGCTTTGTAGTGACCTCAGAAACTCAACTGACTCTAAGAGAGTTTTGGAAAGATCACTTTACCATCCATAATTGTGTAAACATTATAGGTAAGGCTTGGGAGGAAGTGACTAAGAGGACCTTGAACTCTGTTTGGAAAAAACTGTGGCCAGAATGTGTAGACAAAAGGGATTTTGAAGGGTTTGAGGCTAACCCTGAGAATCCTATGCCAGTTGAGGAATCCATTGTGGCATTGGGGAAGTCCTTCGGGTTGGAGGTTAGTGGGGAGGATGTGGAAGAGTTGGTGGTGGAGGACAATGAAGAACTAACCACTGATGAGCTGCTAGATCATCTTCAAAAGCAAGAGGCCACACCTGAGGAAACTGCTTCGGAGGAGGGGAGAGAGAAATTGAAGAAGTTGCCTACTTCTAAGATTAAGGAAATCTGTGCAATGTGGCTTAAAGTGCAAACCTTTATGGATGAAAATCACCCTGACACAGCTACTGCAAGCCTTGCTGGCAACCTGTACACTGACAATGTTGTGAAACACTTTAGAAATGTCATAAAGGAACGGGAGGTACAGGCCTGTATGGACAGATATGTTGTGCGACAGAAGTCCAGTGACTCTGAAGCTGGTCCTAGTGGCATTAAAAGAACAAGGGAAGTAACCCCGGAAAAAGACTTGCTACCTCAAGTCCTAATGGAAGGGGATTCCCCTTCTAAACACTAAGAAGATCCACACTCTCCCCTCTTCCCATCCCATCAATCATCACCAGATCTTCAATAAAGGTAAGTGTCATGTAACTGTGCATGTCTTCTTCAGTTTGTGTGTATTAAAATTAATATTTCATGTGATAAAATTTTTTTTTTTCAATACTTTGGGGTGTCAGGAATGGATTAATTTGATTTCCATTATTTCTTATGGGGAAAATTAACTCGACTAACGATAATTTCATTAACGATGAGCTCTCAGGAACGGATTAATATAGCTGGTCGAGGGTCCACTGTATAATGATGAAATTTGAAATTATGTTAGCAGAAATTAGTGCTGGATCACTGATGGAACTGGATAACTGATTGCCGGATTAGTGATGGCCAACCTGTAACTTGGAATTTTATCAATCATGAGCACCTCCTTTTTTTTTAAATTCTCAAGCACTGCAGATCAAACTATAAATACAACAACTAAGATAAAAAAAGAATGCTGAAGTATACACAGTAGAACCCCCGTATCCACGGATCAAGATTCCAATGTTTCAGTTACGAACGGTTGACTGTGGCCTAAAAACAGTCCTTTATTCTTAATAATGACCCCAAAGTACAAAATAATGGTGGGAGATTTTCAAAGTCTAAGACAAGCCATGAAGAGCTTCCCATCAGTGAAAAAGTGGCAATTCTCCCTTTACTGAGTCTAATTTATCAATTAAATTTTACTGTATGTATGTAAGTGAAAAATGACATACAGAGTTTGATACTACAGTTTCGGGTATCCACAGCAGGTCTTGGAATGTATCCCCCAGGGATACAGGGGATGACTACTGTATCAGGATTACATTTTTGTTGCTAACAGAAGGGGGATATGTTCGATGGGGTCAGACACGAGTGCAGAAACTGACTTCAGGGTTTCTCCTAGGTTTTAAAGAACAGCCGCTATTATGCGCTTTGGGGCCATTATTAAGCAAAATTATGGGTTATTTTCGGGTCACAGTAAATCGTGGATAACTGAAAACTTGGAAACTGAACCTGTGGATACAGGGGTTGTACTGTATATAGTACGGTTGGCTGTCTTATAAAGCGTCTCCAGTATCTGACGCCTCTCGCAAGACAGTGACGGAGTGAATGATGATGAGTGTTTCTTTTTTGGGCCACCCTACCTTGGTGGGAGACGGCCAATGTGTTAATAAAAAATATAACGGCTTGATAAAGCTCCTGGAGAGCGAAATGTTGCCACAATAAAGCTCCTCCATTTAGTACTGAAACACTTCTGGCAAGACAGTGATGGAGTGAATAATGATGACAGTGCTGCTTCTTTGGGTCGCCCTGCCTCAGTGGGAAACAACCAATGTTAAAAAAAATGCACGGAAAACGGAAAAACGCGCATTATAAAGGCCTTTTCGTGTGCTATTAAATTCTTAATGTCACTCTCCCATCGCATTTGTGAAAAACTGCATCGTATAGCACACGAAAATGGTGTGTACATAGACGTACCTCCTTCTCGAGCCGCCTGCAGTCTTTCGATGAGTTCATTCTTGTTCCCTGTGACTGGTAATCCTCGAGCCTTGAGTTCCTTCTTAAGGTCAGCAACCTGGGCAATAACACTTTGGTCAATTATAGGATTAATTATAATGTGAATTATAAGATATGGTGAATTATAAGGAGAATTATATAGTGAATCATATGTATATTGTGAATTATGAGGTGAATTATAAGGTATAAGGTATATTATAGGGTAAATCTTACAGTAAGCTTATAAAGAGGACGAAAAATTGAATATCACCAACTTCCACTTAAGGGACTCCCATCCAGGGGACCCTGTCCAGGGGGCTCGACTCCCATCCAGGGGACCCTGTCCAGGGGACTCGACTCCCATCCAGGGCACCCTGTCCAGGGGACTCGACTCCCATCCAGGGGACCCTGTCCAGGGGGCTCGACTCCCATCCAGGGGACCCTGTCCAGGGGGCTCGACTCCCATCCAGGGGACCCTGTCCAGGGGCTCGACTCCCATCCAGGGGACCCTGTCCAGGGGACTCGACTCCCATCCAGGGGACCCTGTCCAGGGGACTCGACTCCCATCCAGGGGACCCTGTCCAGGGGGCTCGACTCCCATCCAGGGCACCCTGTCCAGGGGACTCGACTCCCATCCAGGGGACCCTGTCCAGGGGACTCGACTCCCATCCAGGGGACCCTGTCCAGGGGACTCGACTCCCATCCAGGGGACCCTGTCCAGGGGACTCGACTCCCATCCAGGGGACCTGTCCAGGGGACTCGACTCCCATCCAGGGACCCTGTCCAGGGGGCTCGACTCCATCCAGGGGACCCTGTCCAGGGGACTCGACTCCCATCCAGGGGACCCTGTCCAGGGGACTCGACTCCCATCCAGGGCACCCTGTCCAGGGGGCTCGACTCCCATCCAGGGGACCCTGTCCAGGGGACTCGACTCCCATCCAGGGGACCCTGTCCAGGGGGCTCAACTCCCATCCAGGGGACCCTGTCCAGGGGGCTCGACTCCCATCCAGGGGACCCTGTCCAGGGGGCTCGACTCCCATCCATGGGACTCGACTCCCATCCAGGGGACCCTGTCCAGGGGACTCGACTCCCATCCAGGGGACCCTGTCCAGGGGACTCGACTCCCATCCATGGGACTCGACTCCCATCCAGGGGACCCTGTCCAGGGGACTCGACTCCCATCCACGGGACTCGACTCCCATCCAGGGGACCCTGTCCAGGGGACTCGACTCCCATCCAGGGGACCCTGTCCAGGGGGCTCGACTCCCATCCAGGGGACCCTGTCCAGGGGGCTCGACTCCCATCCAGGGGACCCTGTCCAGGGGGCTCGACTCCCATCCAGGGGACCCTGTCCAGGGGACTCGACTCCCATCCAGGGGACCCTGTCCAGGGGACTCGACTCCCATCCAGGGGACCCTGTCCAGGGGACTCGACTCCCATCCAGGGGACCCTCCATCCAGGGGACCCTCCATCCAGGGGACCCTCCATCTAGGGGACCCTCCATCTAGGGGACCCTCCATCTAGGGGACCCTCCATCTAGGGGACCCTCCATCCGGGACCCTCATCAGGGGACCCTCCATCTAGGGGACCCTCCATCTAGGGGACCCTCCATCTAGGGGACCCTCCATTAGGGGACCCTCCATCCAGGGGACCCCCCCCTCCATCTAGGGGACCCTCCATCTAGGGGACCCTCCATCTAGGGGACCCTCCATCTAGGGGACCCTCCATCTAGGGGACCCTCCATCTAGGGGACCCTCCATCTAGGGGACCCTCCATCTAGGGGACCCTCCATCTAGGGGACCCTCCATCTAGGGGACCCTCCATCCAGGGGACCCTCCATCTAGGGGACCCTCCATCTAGGGACCCTCCATCTAGGGACCCTCCATCTAGGGGACCCTCCATCCAGGGGACCCTCCATCTAGGGGACCCTCCATCTAGGGGACCCTCCGTTACGTCTGATCCAACGAACAACAGAACAGCTCCAAACCCTTGGATCAAAACCCATAAAATTAAAAACTGACAATAAAACAATTCCTCCTCCGTCACTATACACCTTGAGGCGCTAAACCCTCACGGGCCGGGGGCCTACCACCCACAAAACCCCTTAATTAAGGGATAATGGGGCCAGGGGCCGGAAAAATACCATAAAAATTGATAAAAATGAGTCGGCATCTCCAGCCATCACCCCCCCCCCTTCCACATTACCCCATTCATCACCCATTATCCCCCACTTCCCGCATTTATTCCCCAATACACCTCTTCCCCAATCATCCCCCAACACTTCCACTTCCCCAGAGAAAAAACCGCGGAGTTTTAGGGGGGTTTTGGGGGTGTTTTCCACACGACAACCTTCATCTTGGTGATCTCCGGAGCGTCGGCCATGTTTGTTTAGTGAGGGATCCCTGGTATAACACTGGTATACCTGGGTATACCAAGGTATATAACAAGGTATAACAAGGTATATACCAAGGTATATACCTCTAGTGAGTTATCAGGGCCATTGTTATATTTGTTAAGTTAATATTCGGTTAGTTTGTTTAGTGAGGGATCCCTGGTATAACACTGGTATACCTGGGTATACCAAGGTATATACCAAGGTATAACAAGGTATACCAGGGTATATACCTCTAGTGAGTTATCATGGCCATTGTTATATTTGTTAAGTTAATATTCGGTTAGTTTGTTCAGTGAGGGATCCCTGGTATAACACTTGTATACCTGGGTATACCAAGGTATAACAAGGTATATACCAAGGTATACCAGGGTATATACCTCTAGTGAGTTATCAGGGCCATTGTTATATTTGTTAAGTTAATATTCGGTTAGTTTGTTTAGTGAGGGATCCCTGGTATAACACTTGTATACCTGGGTATACCAAGGTATATACCAAGGTATACCAGGGTATATACCTCTAGTGAGTTATCAGGGCCATTGTTATATTTGTTAAGTTAATATTCGGTTAGTTTGTTTAGTGAGGGATCCCTGGTATAACACTGGTGTATCTGGGTATACCAAGGTATATAACAAGGTATAACAAGGTATATACCAAGGTATATACCTCTAGTGAGTTATCAGGGCCATTGTTATATTTGTTATGTTAATATTCGGTTAGTTTGTTTAGTGAGGGATCCCTGGTATAACACTTGTATACTTGGGTATACCAAGGTATATACCAAGGTATACCAGGGTATATACCTCTAGTGAGTTATTAGGGCCATTGTTATATTTGTTAAGTTAATATTCGGTTAGTTTGTTTAGTGAGGGATCCCTGGTATAACACTGGTATATCTGGGTATACCAAGGTATATAACAAGGTATAACAAGGTATATACCAAGGTATATACCTCTAGTGAGTTATCAGGGCCATTGTTATATTTGTTATGTTAATATTCGGTTAGTTTGTTTAGTGAGGGATCCCTGGTATAACACTTGTATACTTGGGTATACCAAGGTATATACCAAGGTATACCAGGGTATATACCTCTAGTGAGTTATCAGGGCCATTGTTATATTTGTTAAGTTAATATTCGGTTAGTTTGTTTAGTGAGGGATCCCTGGTATAACACTTGTACCTGGGTATACCAAGGTATATAACAAGGTATATACCAAGGTATACCAGGGTATACACCTCTAGTGAGTTATCAGGAGCATTGTTATATATAAGTTAATATTCGGTTAGTTTGTTCAGTGAGGGATCCCTGGTATAACATCCAACCCACGCTAGGTATACCTTGGTATTGTGATGAAAGGTTTGAAAAACCGGCAAGTTTGTTTAGTGAGGGATCCCTGGTATACCTTGGTATACCTCTAGTGAGTTACCAGGAGCATTGTTATATTTAAGTTAATATTCCGTTAGTTTGTTTAGTGAGGGATCCCTGGTATAACACTGGTATACCTGGGTATACCTTGGTATACCTTGGTATACCTTGGTATACCTTGGTATACCTTGATATACCTTGGTATACCTCTAGTGAGTTATCAGGAGCATTGTTATATTTAAGTTAATATTTCGTTAGTTTGTTCAGTGAGGGATCCCTGGTATAACACTGGTATACCTTGGTATACCTTGGTATACCTCTAGTGAGTTACCAGGAGCATTGTTATATATAAGTTAATATTCCGTTAGTTTGTTCAGTGAGGGATCCCTGGTATAACACCCAACCCACGCTAGGGTATACCTGGTATCCCTTTGTATACCTTCAGTAACTTATTGAGGGATTTATATTTCTTCGTAGCTTTCAGAGGTATAGGAGGAATAACACACATGTGCTAGACCTAGATGTCTTTATTACGGAGACATTTCGCCCACCTGTGACTTCATCAGTACGAAACGTAGATAGAGTCGAAGACTGAGGAGGTCCGAGACAAGGAATCAGTCCCTCGGCCCATTATAATGTTTATTACCAGAGTCTGGAAGGATCTTAATAATAATAATAATAATAATAATAATAATAATAATAATAATGATAATAATAATAATAATAATAATAATAATAATAATAATAATAAGGAGGGCCCGGGTTCGATTCCCGGCGGGTGGAAACATTTCGACACGTTTCTTTACACCTGTTGTCCTGTTCACCTAGCAGCAAATAGGTACCTGGGTGTTAGTGGACTGGTGTGGGTGGCATCCTGGGTGTTAGTGGACTGGTGTGGGTGGCATCCTGGGTGTTAGTGGACTGGTGTGGGTCGCATCCTGGGTGTTAGTGGACTGGTGTGGGTGGCATCCTGGGTGTTAGTGGACTGGTGTGGGTCGCATCCTGGGTGTTAGTGGACTGGTGTGGGTCGCATCCTGGGTGTTAGTGGACTGGTGTGGGTCGCATCCTGGGTGTTAGTGGACTGTTGTGGGTCGCATCCTGGGTGTTAGTGGACTGGTGTGGGTCGCATCCTGGGTGTTAGTGGACTGGTGTGGGTCGCATCCTGGGTGTTAGTGGACTGTTGTGGGTCGCATCCTGGGTGTTAGTGGACTGGTGTGGGTCGCATCCTGGGTGTTAGTGGACTGGTGTGGGTGGCATCCTGGGTGTTAGTGGACTGGTGTGGGTCGCATCCTGGGTGTTAGTGGACTGGTGTGGGTGGCATCCTGGGTGTTAGTGGACTGGTGTGGGTCGCATCCTGGGTGTTAGTGGACTGGTGTGGGTCGCATCCTGGGTGTTAGTGGACTGGTGTGGGTCGCATCCTGGGTGTTAGTGGACTGGTGGTGGGTGGCATCCTGGGTGTTAGTGGACTGGTGTGGGTGGCATCCTGGTGTTAGTGGACTGGTGTGGGTGGCATCCTGGGTGTTAGTGGACTGGTGTGGGTCACATCCTGGGTGTTAGTGGACTGGTGTGGGTCGCATCCTGTGTGTTAGTGGATTGGTGTGGGTCACATCCTGGGTGTTAGTGGACTGGTGTGGGTCACATCCTGGGTGTTAGTGGACTGGTGTGGGTGGCATCCTGGGTGTTAGTGGACTGGTGTGGGTGGCATCCTGGGTGTTAGTGGACTGGTGTGGGTGGCATCCTGGGTGTTAGTGGACTGGTGTGGGTGGCATCCTGGGTGTTAGTGAACTGGTGTGGGTGGCATCCTGGGTGTTAGTGGACTGGTGTGGGTGGCATCCTGGGTGTTAGTGGACTGGTGTGGGTGGCATCCTGGGTGTTAGTGGACTGGTGTGGGTGGCATCCTGGGTGTTAGTGGACTGGTGTGGGTGGCATCCTGGGTGTTAGTGGACTGGTGTGGGTGGCATCCTGGGGGACAAGATTAAGGGCCACAATGGAAATAAGTTAGACAGTCCTCGATGACGCACTGACTTTCTTGGGTTATCCTGGGTGGCTAACCCTCCGGGGTTAAAAATCCGAACGAAATCTTATCTTATCTTATCTTATACCTACATGGTACAACTTATACAGACCATAGCTCACACCTATGACATACTATATAGAAAGTTCCTGGTTATGTAGAGCATTTCCCACAACTTAGGTTAATTTTGTACCCTGGATGCTACCCACACCAGTCACCTAACACCCAGGTACCTACTTACTGCTAGGTGAACACTGACAGCAGGTGTAAGGTAATTAACACCCAGGTACCTACTTACTGCTAGGTGAACACTGACAGCAGGTGTAAGGTGACTAACACCCAGGTACCTACTTACTGCTAGGTGAACACTGACAGCAGGTGTAAGGTGGCTAACACCCAGGTACCTACTTACTGCTAGGTGAACACTGACAGCAGGTGTAAGGTGGCTAACACCCAGGTACCTACTTACTGCTGGGTGAACACTGACAGCAGGTGTAAGGTGGCTAACACCCAGGTACCTACTTACTGCTAGGTGAACACTGACAGCAGGTGTAAGGTAACTAACACCCAGGTACCTACTTACTGCTAGATGAACACTGACAGCAGGTGTAAGGTGACTAACACCCAGGTACCTACTTACTGCTAGGTGAACATTGACAGCAGGTGTAAGGTAACTAACACCCAGGTACCTACTTACTGCTAGGTGAACACTGACAGAAGGTGTAAGGTGACTAACACCCAGGTACCTACTTACTGCTAGGTGTACACTGACAGCAGGTGTAAGGTAACTAACACCCAGGTACCTACTTACTGCTAGGTGAACACTGACAGCAGGTGTAAGGTAACTAACACCCAGGTACCTACTTACTGCTAGGTGAACACTGACAGAAGGTGTAAGGTAACTAACACCCAGGTACCTACTTACTGCTAGATGAACACTGACAGCAGGTGTAAGGTGACTAACACCCAGGTACCTACTTACTGCTAGATGAACACTGACAGCAGGTGTAAGGTGACTAACACCCAGGTACCTACTTACTGCTAGATGAACACTGACAGCAGGTGTAAGGTGGCTAACACCCAGGTACCTACTTACTGCTAGGTGAACAGTGACAGCAGGTGTAACTACATATACATCCGGTGGATGGATATGTATGGATATACAATAGGCCTAGGAACTAGGCCTCAAAGGGGTTACCTGGAGTACATTTGGATTCACATCTACAGCTCACTTATCTGTTATAAGCAAATTTGAGAAATTTGCTTAATATATCTTGATATGCAAGATAGTGACCATAGACCTGGTCACACAAGATAGTGACCATAGACCTGGTCATACAAGATAGTGACCATAGACCTGGTCATACAAGATAGGGACCATAGGCCTGGTCATACAAGATAGTGACCATAGACCTGGTCATACAAGATAGTGACCATAGGCCTGGTCATACAAGATAGTGACCATAGACCTGGTCATACAAGATAGTGACCATAGGCCTGGTCATACAAGATAGTGACCATAGACCTGGTCATACAGATAGTGACCATAGACCTGGTCATACAAGATAGTGACCATAGACCTGGTCATACAAGATAGTGACCATAGGCCTGGTCATACAAGATAGTGACCATAGACCTGGTCATACAAGATAGTGACCATAGACCTGGTCATACAAGATAGTGACCATAGACCTGGTCATACAAGATA